CCGCCGCGGGGCACCACGGGAGCGGGAGTCTGGGGCCGGCGGCCGTCACTCTTAAGACCGCACCTGGAAAGCATAGACCCTGCGTCGCCGCCGCGGCGGGGCGATCCGCAGGGGCCTCCGGGAAATGTAGTTTACATGCCCCGCTCCTTCTGCCTGGAGCTGGGGTGCAAGAGCCGGGACTCCCAGGCCTCGGACCAGCACCGGGAAAGCCAGTTCCGGGTCTCCGGAAGGTGTGGTCCTCGCTCTAGACTCCTCCCATTGTTCTGGTCCGAGCCTGCGGCCAGCGCGGACTACTGCTCCCAGGGTGCCGCGGGCTCCGGACTCTGAGAACCCGGCCGACGCGGGGAAACGAAATCAGCCGCTACCCGGAGGCGTGGGCTGGGGAAGGGACGACGCAAAGGGTTAGTCTCAGTTCCAGGCGTGATCCTGAGGCAGCTCCTCTGGGAACATAGAGAAGGTGCCGGAGAGGCGCGTCTCACGGGTCCTGCGCTCCGAGGCAGGCGGCCGAAAGCGGAACGGAGCATGCGCTCTGTTCCAGCCCTGGGCCGGGCGCACCTAGATTAGCCCGCGCGCGGGGTACTGCTGTGGAAGGGGCCAGTGTCTTTGAGGTCTCATAGCCACCCTCCACCCCCAGCCCCGGGCCTGTTGTGAAGTTGTCCGGGACACCGAAGTCTTTTGAGAAATGACTCCGGAGGAGGACGGGGCGCCCCGCAAAGTATACGGTGCCAGACCTGCTGATTAGCGGACGCACGACCACCAGGGGCCGCTACAGGACAAGACACTTGGCTTGGAGGGTCTCCAAGCAAGGAGTAAAGTCTGGATTTGCCTTTCTTTTCCTGTGCTGACCAGACAGCACCGGAAACTCTTTATTATGGTGATGCAACCGACAGAACCCTTACAATTGATCTCTGGAGCAAACGTCAGTGCCCTGGCCTCGCAGGCCGTGGCTGGCCCAAGCTTCTGCCACCCTTGGCTATACGGTAGAGGGCTCTCGGCGCCTATCCGATGCTTCTGCGACCGAATTTTGCTAGGCCACTGCAGAAGCGGTGCCGGCTCAGAAGCTGAGATGGCTCGCCTTACTCACTGGACTCTTGGCTGAGGCCAGAGAAGCTCAGGTGGTGGAAGAGAAGGGACCGAGAGAGGTCACGGCCCGGGACTCCCTCGAGGAGGAGTAGAGGAAAGTGGAGCGAATGGTCCATCCTGGCGGGAGCTGGCTTGGCGAGTGGCTGCGCATGTGTGCCTGCATAGAGGCCAGGCTGGGGCAGCCCACCCTGCACAGAGGGCAGCGGTAGGGAGCGGCCCCGTGCGTCCTCAGGTGCTTGGTCATGGCAGAGAAGTCCCGAGAGCGCTGAGGACACAGGCTACAGGAGAAGGGTTTCTCTCCTAGGGCAGGCAGACGGGGAGGCCGGGAGAAGAAGGAAAGAAGGGGCAAAGGCTGGTCAAATTAAGGGTACACAGGGCGACTGGGGGAGGAATTGCGCCGGAGCCAAGGAGAGGGGGTCACCCTGGGCATGGTGCCCATACCTGTGTGGACTCGGTAGTGTGTCTCCAACTGATGCTTGAGTGAAAACCTCTTGCCACAGACAGAGCAAGAATAGGGCCGAGACCGAACAGGAGTGGGCAGAGGCTGGTGTTGAGATGAGCCCCCTGCTGTGCCCTCCTGGACCATGCAGGTTGCCTGTGGGTCTATGTGGACACAGAAGTCAAAGCAGGGCAGGGCTAAGCATCCCACAGCCAAATCAGGCAAGACATCGGGAGCTCCCTGGGGCTGAGGCAAAAATGCCCTCATCCTACTCACCTGTGGGCCTCTGTCCAGACTCTTCCATATTCCCAGGGCTGAGCTGCACAGGGCCCTGAGGGAGGGAACCTGGAGAGAATAGAGTGAGGAGGTGGGAGCTCAGGCTGGACTCTTGGAGCCCAGCCCCAGGAAAGGACCCTGTGTTCAGGACAGTGAGGGGCTTACCTGGGGTGGGGCTGGAGGAGACCAGCTGGTTCTGACTCCAGAGCCTTTTGGGGTGGTTCAGGGTCAGTGAGATCCTAGGGGTGGGTGTAGAGAGCATTATAGTCTTGGCAAAACCTGAAACCTGGCCAACCCTGTCCCCTTCCTCATGAGAGGAGGTGTCCTGAGTCCTCCTTGGGGACTGGACCTTGGCTTCCTCTGTGGTGGGAACTCCTTGTCCCATCCCCAGTTCAGGAAATGCACGATAGGAATAATGGATGTGGTGCTTCCACCCATTTGCGGCCTCTCCAGGGCTACTTCCTCCCATCCTGAAGGTCTTCCCCTAGGCCCTTCACTCACCTCTGATCCTGAGGCCAGACCTCCTGCCAGCCTCCAGTGATGGGGGTGCTATGGGAGAACGGAGTGCCATATCTGGGTGGCCACAGCAGGATGCTCCACAGGGAAGGCTGGCCCTCCCTCAGCCAAGGGACCTCAGCCCACCAGGGCCTGGGGATGACTCTGGTTTGAAGGGAACCTGGTAGGGGAAGGGGACCAGGGAACTCCCGAAGACTTTCCTCAGAGCCCCTTGGGCTCTCTGTCACCCTGAGGACTACTCCTTGTTTCCCACTTGCTCTGCTGTGGCCAACAGGAACTTGCCTGGGTTTCTCCTCCTTTGACCTCATCTCCCCTTGAACCTCCTGTGTTGCCACTGGCGTCTCAGGGCTCTCTCTTGCTGGCTTGTGCTTGTGCAACTTCTGTTCTCTCCCACCAAGTCCAAAAAACTTAGATGGGTTTTGCTTCTTTCCGAGGTACCCCATTCTTCTCTCAGAATCCCTAGTGTGTTCCTCTGCCTCCTCCTGATACTTCTTCCTTGGCTCTTCTGGATCCAGTTCGTCCTCAGTTTTATCGCTTCGGGCTCTCCTGCAGGCCTCTTCCAGGGCCTGCACCCCCAAGGCCCTGGCTGCCTCCTCAAGGGGCCCCAGCTCTCCAGGCTGCAGCTCTACACTCTCCCCATAAACAAAGCTCAGAAGCTGGGCAAAGGTGGAATGGCTGATGCCTTCTACCAGAGCCCACTGGCCCCTGCACCCCAGTTGCTGGCTCACACCTGCTAGCACCAGGCTGTGAGCAGGGAACTCCTGGCCCTCTACAGTGATCAGGGTATCACACAATGCTGGCCGGAGCCTGGCTGCGAGCCGTACCAACCGATCAGAGCCATAGGGGCTAAGCAATCTTGTGGGGGACAAGGGCATTGTGCCTTGCCTGAATACCAATCTCAGAGACTCTGAGAGAAAGGCTACAATGTGGGATCCATGGCAGAAAGGGGAGGGAGGAACAGCATGTTCTCAAGCCTCAAGCCTGTGGAGGTGAGGAGAGAAAGAGTGAGTTAGAAGTTCTAGATCAGAGCTATCTGTCATGAGTGGAGCATATAAATAGAGCAGATAAAGTAACCCAAGAGAGGACCTAAACTTTATCCAGAGGCATAACAGGAGCCAGCAGTAGGGATATGGTGTTAGAAAATGGAAGTTAGATAAAAATCAGGGCTTGAAGAGCAAAAGCCAGGCAGTTAACAGAAGTATCAAGTAGTATTAGTATAGATTTTTTTTTAAAAAGACTAGTGTAGATGGCAGCCTGTGGTTTAAAAGATAGCAGTCATGGATACTTCTGCTTCTCCAAGCCCTTTTGCAGAGAAAAAAACTTCTGCGTAGACTGAGCTTTCCTCATTTCAGGCAAGGGGGTTACCACAAAACCCAGTCAGCCCTGGCATTTAGGCATAGAGCAAAATAGCTTCATGGGAGAGCTGGGAAATCCAGTGTGTCCTCCTCCAGCTCTGCCGTACAGAGCCCATCGTGCTGGAGAGTCAGAGGGCAGCAAGACAGGTCATGGCTGCAGGAAGGCAGACTCTCCCTGAGGTAGAAGCTTCTAAAACGTATTCACAGAGGAGCTGGAAGAGACCAAAGACTCCCATCTAGTGAGTTACAAAGCCAGACTTAGAAACCAGGAAGGCTCCTGATCCAATGATGGAGAGAGGTTTTGGAGAAGGCTTTGGTGGCTGAGGAGGTAGGAAGAAGAGGAATGGGAACTGTCCAGAGGGAGGCTATTTCCTCTCAAGATTAGGACAAGGAAATGGTTTAAAGTTTTATTTTTTATATGCCAAAAAGTGAGTAGAACCCAATAACCCAGGAGTTCATTGCACATCAAAACCATCACTTTTATGAAGAGAACTGGGAACCCAGATACTACAAGAAACAGAGCCTAAGTATTTAAGCACCTAGCAGGCATAGTCCTAGGTGCAGGTTCTCCATGAGTAAATCCCTTGTAGGAGAGAGGCGTACTACTTGGGTGCCTCAGGAGAGGGCTATAGACTGGTAGGGAGTGGACAGAAAGAAAGTGTAATGGGAGAAAGGCCTTGGGGCTGGGGAAAAGCAACACTTACCCGTAGTAGCTGCCTCCTGGAACCACATGCTCTGAACTGCTGTTCTGGCTCCTGCCCCCCTCCCCTGAAGCTAGCCCCGCCTCTGGCCTCAGTCCTCCATTGGATGTCCCAGGTATCAGTCTGCCACAAGTCCCCCAGGGGGTGTGGTCTAATGACCCTGGCTCTGCTTTACACCTGCAGGAGAGATCACACCTGTTTGCAGAACCCAGATGTTCTGCCAGGTTAGTCTCCTGCCTCTTCATTTGTGAGCTCTTTTTTTTTTTTTTTTCCCCATTTGTGAACTCCTGAAGTATAAGAAGTAAATCTGTGACAACAAGGGCTTTGGAATAATCCGACTTGCATTTGGGTGTCATCCCTGCCATTTTCTAGTTGAGTCACCGTGGGCAAGTCACCTCTTTTGAGCCTCAGTTACCTCATTCATGAAATGAGGGTAATCTCTGCTTACCTCATTGGAAGGTGGGGATGAGGATGAAATGACAAGAACGTGAAAGTTGTCTCTGTAAGAACATAGCATCATTCAAGTGGCATCAGAGGTAGCAGTAGAGCTGTAGTAGCTGGAAGCTACTTCTACTACCTCAGCAGTTAAAAAAAAAAAAAAAAGATGGAAACATCTGCATTCTAAGGAGAGGGTAAAGGAAGGTCAAAAGCATGGCTCCTGTTCCGTGGGTTGGTACTGGGAAGCATTACTTGCTGTGTGGGAATGAACCGTTATCTGGGCATTGAGCGAGTGTGTGTGTGTGTGTGTGTGTGTGTGTGTGTGTGTGACTCAGATCCTCCCACCTCTAAAGGGGGCAACCCCAGAAGGGCCTGTGGTGGTCTTTGGAGAGAAAAATTTCCTTTTCTTGGACTGATGACAAATGACATTTCTTTGAAATCTGGACTCGGGTTTCTTTCACTTCCTGCCGAAGGGGTCAAAGTCCCTGGAGATTTCCCCTCTTTTCACACGTTAGCAGTTTTTAATCTGAGGACAAAATAAGGCCCAGGAGGCTCAAATTTGTTTTCCTGCTTCTTATTGCATTATCACTGATCCTATAGCAAGTTTTTGATTCATTCAGCATATGAAAGTAGTTATGGTGTGCGCCTGGCATATATTATATGCACAATAAATTATTAGAAGACAAGTCAGGTACTAGTGGGCTGCTCTGGTGACAAGACAGTCTAGTTTCCCCTAGGTTTCTCCTTTAGGTCCTGGTCCTCTCCTAGATCCAAATATTATTGTTTCTAGACCCCCTTTTCTATCTTTGGCTGCAGGACCCCAAAATGTTCAGACGTACTTTTTCTGTCCAGATCTAAAATGCCTTCCCTCCCATTGTAGCTTGGGTGTGGGCAAGTGTTAACCCTTTCTAGATCAGACAGGGTGTGTCAGTGGGTGAGGCTGGTGGAGGGGCAATGGGGTGGGGAGAGGGGAAGATGAGTCAAAGTGAAAGGGAAAATGCAAATGGGCAAGCTGTATTCATCTGCCTCTCTGAGCGTTAAAAAGAGTTTCCATTTCTGAGCTTTCTAACCCCTCACATCACCACACCCAGGGACACATTCGATACTCACATAATAAAAGATAAAACATCAGTCCTGGTAGGTATGCAAACAGAGGGACATATCCTTCCTCTAACAGAAATACGCAACGCAATCCCTAAGGACAAGGAAGAAGTGGGGAAAGCCAGAAGGAGAAACCCCAAGTATAGAAGGAAAGGTACCGGGTTCTGGAAGACTGCACCATTGCCTGGTGGGGTGTGAACCCCTTACCTCCTAGCCCTCCATCATGTGCCTGTGACTCAGCTGCCCCATAGCTGTGGTTTTTCCCACTGATGATTAAGAGTTGGGGACTGTGATCAAAGGGCAGCACCCTCAAAGTCAGGGAGTATCACTGGGCTTTCGGGGGAACCTAAAAGGGAGGAGAGGGGTAAGGGGATTCCCCACTGAATGAACAAAAGCCCCCAAGAATGGGAAACCTCATCTTCCCTCCCACTTAGTGTCTACCCCACCCAAGGATATCCCCTTAGGGCTTCCTTAGAGTTACCCTGAGGCCCTCTGCACCTCAGCCTTTAAGCTAGTGACACTCTACTTGTCTAGCCTCTTCCTACCTTTTTGGCAGTATAACCTCAGCCATTCTGAGCTAAGCACTGAAAGCAGAAGCACTTTGACTGGAAGGGTAGGGACACTGCTGACCTGCCTCAGCCCTTCAGAGAGCTGGGATTATAGGCATGGGTCACCATGCCTGGCTCTTCATTCTTACTGATAGATTTGATTAATGAGACAGTAAGGAGGAAAAATGTATGAGGTGCTCATTTTCAGGAAATGTGTTTGCCTGGCTGCCGAGTCAGAACTTTCCAGAAAGCCTTGTATCATAAACTCCTTCAGCCTGATATAAGAATGTCACAGCAGCAATACAAATATCGCATATATATAAATATTAAAATAAGACCACCAGGTCAAGAATTACTTGTTTTATGAAAAAATGTTCCCCTTCCATCTGACTTATTTTAAATATTTTTTTATTTTAAATATTGAGCCTACTCCCCAAATCACATTGAACAAGATTCAATTTAGAAAAGCTGAATTAGGAAAAATTCCACCAAGAAACATATTTCATTCCATATATCAGTGTGCTGAAACTCTCCACAATATCTTAGATAGATTGACTAATTGCCCAAATCTGACATGAACTTTCAAGATGTTTGCTCTTTCTAGTTAAGTACATCAAACATACCGGAGGAGATACCACACCACAGGATGAATTACTTCCTTTCTCTCCTTAAATCTATGCTCTCAGGGCTGGGGATTTAGCTTAGTGGCACAGTGCCTGCCTGGCAAGCGTGAGGTCATGAGTTCGATTCCCGGTACCGGAAAAACAAAACAAAAAACACAAAAACCTATGCTCTGTATAAACTGGGAACCACACAATCATACCTGGGTTAGCTGAATCTAGGTCACAGAGACTTATCATAGCACACCTTTTGTGGATTATGTGGAAAAGGAACTAGACTAGAAGTCAGAAAACTTAGATTCCCCTGCATCCTCATAGTGCATGGTCTTTCTCTTCAGACCTAATTTGGGGCTGACCTTGTCCAAGACTCTCAACTTCCTTACACGGACTGTTTCAAGACCAGTTCAGAGTACCAGTGTTCATTTAATCCAGGGCAGAGGGTCTCACTCAGATCTCAGGCTATGTCCCTGTTGGTGGGCTAAGGAGTCCCAGGGCATCTAGGAAGGGCCCACCTGTCCTGAGACCATGCCCAGGGTTTTCTGGATCCATAACCCAGGGTTTCCTGGACCAAATGATTCTGAATCCATGTCCACAACCAACATGGGCTTCAACTCCACATTTGTACTCGTGACAGTGGGCTGTGTGACAGATATGCAACCTTGGGCCCAGATTGCATGTAAGGGGCATGTGGACTAAACTTAATGTATATGCAGCGTAGTATGTGAGACACACTGAGGTGTGGGCCAACACCTTTACCTGTGCAGGAGTAAAGGGGGGGAATGTTCATTTGTAGTTTTGTCCAGACCCCATAAATAATACAGGAGCCTGCTTTATTCCAATGGTTCTTATTCTCTTCAAGATAACCATCCAGTTGAGAATGTAAGCCATAGGACCAACTGTTTACATTAGACTACTGTAGGTATTCATACTCTATGAATGACAAATTCCACAGATTGCTCTCAAGCCCATTCCTAGACATGTTAAATATTCTTTCTTCCTTATCCTTCCCCCCATCCCTATACACAAATGTATACAAATATTCTTTATGTATGTGTATGTGTGGTATTTACTGACCTCAGTAAAATTTTTTTCAAAATTTGGAGACAGGGTCTCATATGCTTCCGAACTTGGACTCAAAACTTGTAATCCTCCTGCCTCAGCCTTCAGAGCCTTAGGATTATGGTCTTAGGATTGTGTGCCTTCAGCCTGGCTACATACATACAAATATTATTTCTAGGTGCTTATAACCCCTTGAAATCCATTCATAGACTATGCCCTGCACCTCTACTCATACTTTAAGAACTCTGGTAAATGCAAAAGCACTCTGAAAGCTTTAATACCATGAAACAGCTGAATGAAAGTAAGTATCAACACCATGCCCAATGAGTATAAAGGAAGCATTGCTAAAGACAAACTTGATTTCCTAAACAGCAGAATATCTCACACACTTCTCCCTGTGTCCAGTATAATATTCACCTTCCCTACGTACCTGCCCCATGCTTACAGCCTGATATCTTCTGAGAATGACCAGAAAAGGAATAAGGGAGAGTAGGGTGGGGAGACCAAAAAGCCGCAGAACCACCCAATCCCAGTTCTATCTTGAGCCACTGCGTGACAATAATAATTTATCAAGGCAGCCAGCTGGACTGGGATTCAGAAGCTTCCATCCCAGAACCATCAGAGGATCACTGGCCTTACCTCCTGACCACGTTGTTCCACCTGGACCCAATACAGAAAATCTGCAGAGAGCACCTCAACCACATATTCCCAGCACAGCCTGGATGCATCGACCCTTGGGGCTTCAATTTAACTCTCACACCCAGCCCAGGCCAGGTCCAAAGACTCCAGAAAACCTTCCAGGTGCACATTAACTTCCATGTCTTGGCCAATGACTGTAACTTCTGGAGACCTACAGCCTGTCCTCCCAGCTGCTAGATCCAGACTCAGCCAGGTCTGCAGCAAATGTCCAGCAGCCACACCTCATGGCTACCGACCCTATGCCGAGCTAAGGGCTCAAGATGGCCTCAGGGGCCACAGACCAACATGGCGTGTGTGTTAGCTTGGCTTCTTCCCAGCCTAGGCCCCAAAGTGCACAGGCGCTCCAATTCCTCACCAGGACAGAGGAAGGCCCAGGGCCTAAAGCCCTCCGCGCTTTTCCGACCCTCATGACAGCCACTCAGGTCCCCAGACCCTGCTTTGCCTGAGTTAGGCTCAAGCCTGCAGAAGAAGTAAGAAAAACCACGGCACTCACCACCTCAGACCCCTTTTGTCCTCCTTTTTCAGCCTGTTTACACCCAGGGCCACGCAAGCCCGAATGACCGTTAGAAAGTGGGTCGCGGCGCGAGGCCAGGGGCGTGGCACGAGGAGGGGAGAGCTGCACTTAGCGCCCTTGGCACCTGGATCTCAGTGCAGACGCTGATTGGCTGCAGTGCCGGCTGCATTGTTTTTCCTAGCTGGTGCTTGCTGGGTACGCTGAGCTGCCAGGAAGACACATAGGGCCCAACCACTGCCCTCGCTTCTGCCTTGGGCCTGCAGCTCATTGGCTGCAGAGCTCAAGCCCTGGCCTCCTGCCAGTGTTGATTGGCTACGGAGTTCTCCCTTTCCCGCCTCTATTCTAGACCCTTAACTCCTTCGCCAGAATCGCTGGGAAGGCTCCTTTAGCAAGACATCAGAGGAATCACCGTCTTTCTGGCTTTTATCCTGCGCCCTCCTCTTTTTTTTTTTTTTTTTTTTTTTTTTTTTTTTTTTTTTTTTTTTTTTTTTTGTACTGGTGATTGAACTTAGAGCTTCCACACTGAGCTACACCCCAGCCACACACACAATTTTTTTATTTCGAGACTGGGTCTCAGTAAGCAGCCCAGTTGCCCAGCCTGAGCTCAAACTTTCTATCCTCCTATCTCAGCCTCCCGAGTGCTGGGATTACAGACACGTGCCACCAACGCCTGGTTTGAGTTGCTCTGGTTTGCAAGCCGTTGCACCTTTCTCTCATCCCCTACCATCTGTGCAGATACACAATTCACAGAGAGGCGTTTGGGGCTGCCTCCGTACTTTTTGGCCTAGAGACCCTCAGAACAGGCGGCTCCCCTTTACCACCTCTTGCTCTGACCCAGCGCTGATTGGCTGCACAACACAATCTGCCTCACCCGGAAGTATATGGGGGCAGGGATGGCACAAAAGTAGACAGAACCTTGACCGATAATTGATCTAGATTCTCAAGTTTCAAATTCTTGCCGGCTCCACTGTTCACTGAAGCAGGATTAACTGCATACATCAGGTACCAGTCATTGCACTGCTCCGACATGAATTTCCCCCAGGACTAGAGCCTGGCCAGCGGGCACGCCGCTTAGGTAGGGCGTTGGTGCTGACAGTCTGTGAACTAGCCCCGCGCCGCAGACAACAGCGCCATTCCCGCGCTGGTCAGCTGCGGTGTTACCGCTGATTGGCTGGCCCTATTCTTTTCTAAATGGCTCAGACTGGCGTCTGCGCTCAGATACACCCAATAAGGCGCGAGGGCGCCTTAAGGAGGCGGGCATCGCCCTGCCGCTGCCGTTTCTGATTGGTCCCGAAGCTTACTTCTCTTTTGAAAGATCATGCGGCAGGAGAAACCTGAGCCTGGTGGAACGGGTGCAGGTGCGATTTATAGTACAGTCATAGCCTCCACCAAGTGTTGGTGCCTGAGGGTAGGAGGAATGGGGATGGACACGAAGACTCTCCTGAGAAGGGCAGCACGCAAACTGGGCATGGCGGTGCACACCTGTTAACCCCAGCATTCTGGAGGGCTGAGGCGGGAGGATCGCAAATCCAAACCCAGCCTGGGTATCTTAGCTACTTAATGAGACTGTCTCAAATTTAAAAATACAGAAAAGGTTGAGAATGTAGCTCAGCGTGAAGGTCCTGGTTCAATCATCGTGACAGAGACAACCTGGGACGAGTCCCCGGTCCAAGAGGCAGCAAAACGCTTAAAAAAGAGGGGGAAAGACTGACTCTGATAGAAGTGGTTAACAGCAGCTCCCGCTTGTCTAACCTTTTCCGTGTAGTGTTTTGTGCCTCATCTCAACGAATCTTTCTAAATAACCCCTTGAAGGAGAGGATTGCTATGTCAAGCTAACCTCAGAGAGTCAGAGAGGTGAAGTCATTTGTCTCAGGTCACACAGCAACTATAGTATGCGCACTGCTAGAATTTGAACCTTGGTCTGGTGAGAGTCCCTTCTTCAAGCTACAGTATGATTAGATAGGGTTGTGGAATGGAGTCTGATATAGTCCCTACTTTACAGCATCGACAAGTGAGGGTTTGGGTTTGGGTTTTTTTGGTTGGTTTTTGGACTTGGATCTGATCCTGAAAATTTGGTAAATATTTTTAAGTCTTCGAACTTTTGGCAAAATACATTGGTTTTGCAGAAACGGGTATTTTAAAAATTAGGACGGGGTTGTAGCTCAGTGAGAGATGACTGGCTTGGCTTCTAAGAGGCCTTGGGTTTGATCTGGGGAGTTAAATGTGTCTGAGGAGTAGGGAAATAACTGTTGCTTGTTGTACACCGACCCTATGCTAACAAGCTTTAATATTTCTTAAGAAGCAGAGAGCCTTATGGTTGAGTAGCTTGGACGCTGGAGGAGGTAGGGCCAACACCCCTATATAGCCGGAAGTAACTACAGAAGACAGAACTTCCTCCTTGAACTCCTTCAAAGATTTTCAGGGATGGGGCTCTTAGCGGGGAATAGTACAGTTAGAAACAAAGGAGCTGAATCACTGCCTTACCCTCATTCAACTATAAATGCCACAACACCCTAATGCTTATCCAGTTTTAAATTTAGGGCCATCTGAATGATTACCCAGACTTAAACTTAGGACCACCCTAATGATTATCTGTGTTTAGGTTTAGGAGGTCAGGCAGATTGCTGACAGAGAGAGAGAGAGACAGAGAGAGAGAGAGAGAGAGAGAACAGGAGGCACTTTGGAGCAGTGGTGTCTGACCCTATAAATACTGGAAGCCTGAATTACAGAGGCCTTTTTTTTCCTTTCATACTCAAGACCTTTTCCTTTCCCTTCACTCTCAAGTCTCTTTTTCCCTCACCCTCTTTCCCTTCACCCTTCTCCCTGTTCCTGCTACTGTCCCGTGATCTTCAATAAATGTAGTAATTACTTACTTTAAAAAAATAGGTCATTAAATAAGGAATATCTTACTTCCAGC